CAGGGTCGTCGCTTCGACGCCTACCTCGTCACCACTCACTCCATGATCACGCCATGCATGCTGGGTCACCCTGTAAGCCTACCTCGTCTCCACTAACTCTACCTCTCACCATGCCTGCTGTGTCGCCCTCCTAGCATCTTGTGTTGATACTATCGCAGCATCAAAGACCCTGGTATCAGTATCATGGCTTCAAGCTTATCTTGTGGATCGTCCGAACCAACCAATGGTGAAACTCTGCCAGAGGCAACACATTCGGAGACTTTCATGAGTTTCCTCATGATTGTGATACACTGAAATGTATCATGGGCCCTTCCTTTGTTAAAGAATTAGAGAGAAAGAGAGGGGAAAATAAAGATATGTAAAGGATTGGGTGGGGGTAAAGAATATGAGCGCACACCATTGTACAAGCGATCATTTACACACCAACAATTTCTAAAGTCTAATGAAATAAACCAGTGGAATACGTATTAATCAGGATTTGAGAATCAGTGAACCGCAAAATGAGCATACATCTGAATATGGGATGATTAAGATGATATGACCTTATAGAAAGTACAGTTCACGTGTATGTCCTGTTGGAGAGTCAGGTATAGCCTCAGGGTGACAAACAAGCATTGGTCCAAAGAAGCTCCAGGCCATTAACTCATTAGACAGCCGGATAGAACCGCTCACTGCTGAAGATGCTAACATCGATATTCAATTTACCCAATCCCCACTTCATGCAATCAATTTGCACGAATTTATCATGTGAAGGCTCTGAAATTGGATTAAGGATCTTGCAAAGACCAGATTTAGATGTGCCTTCTGTAAGGTTAAATAGGAGTCGTGTAAGACATGAACAAAAGCACCAAAGATTTACAAGATTCCGCGCGCTTTTCTTGCCTGTCTTTGTTTATGTTGTGTGTCGGAAGTTCCTTTTAACGAGATAGACGGAGCGGACATTCCATTAGCAATACTGCTAAATATTTCCGATTTTGTTTGAAAACGTATGTAAAGTATAATTGCAGTAATATTTAAGCTTACAAGCTTGTCTCGTGTGACAAGGGTCCCAAAGTTTAGGCTATATACAACTAATCTAATGCTTATGAAGAAACATTAACACACATTGGTGTCGATGTCATACTGGATTGGGGGAGGGCGGGGGAGGGGGGGGGGGGCAGTAATCGGAATATTGCGCCTCACCCACTCCCTCCTGAAATTGACGCATAACTTACTGTGTGTTTTCTTTTGTGTAAATACTTGTGTTAAAGATCTTATTCGTACCGGATTAAAACAAAAATCGTATTGGTTGCTGTTCATCAATGAAGACGATGTGAACTTCGTAAGTTCGTTTACCTTTGTCGTATCCCTTTATGTTCACGACTATTGACCATGTTTTTCATAAATACATCAAAGCAAAAGCCCCAGAGGCCCGAGGATTTATCGCGTACTAAATTGCTTACAAGATTTAAAATGGGTATTATAAAACCTGTAATTATCTGATATAAAGCTATGAAAAATTTACTCTAGGAATCATCTTCACAATCCTACTCCAATCTCTTATCCTATCTTATTGTGTTATCCCCTCCCCCTTACCTTCCCCTTCTATCCATCTCTCTTTAGCTTTCTCTCTCTCTCTCTCTCTCTCTCTCTCTTTTCTCTCTCTCTCTCTCTATCCCCTCTTTCCCTTGTTTCCCCTTCCTTCTCTCCCTCAATCTGATACTGGAGTTCAATGGATATCATTGTTAGTAAGGTTAATGTGAAAGACATCAACCTGACTATTAAACCTGAACACCTATTGAACTGTTCGAAATAAGTCGTTTCCTCTCGTTCAATTTGGGGCAATTTTATTCTTAGCCGATACTCCTTTGGAGAGAGAGAGAGAGAGAGAGAGAGAGGGGGAGGGGGAAAGGGGGGGGGGTCTGATATTCTTTTTAGTGAAATATTTCATAAGACATTGAACTTGCCAGTTTTGATGATATCATTTTGATTCTAGTAGACAAACTGTTTATTTGGGCTTAGTGATGGTAGGTCTTGAGATGAGAGCCAATTATACCAATCTTTGTATATCCTGCCATGGGTGCCAATTTGAGCGCTTAAATGGACCAAGATAGACACCTTTCTGGAGAGAAAACGCTAAATCATGATCCAATGGGATTGTATCCGTTGAGACTTAGCCTCATTTGACAGACATGATAGCGTCTCATGACCAGACCAGCCTCAGATATTCAGATCATTCCAAGATCGACTGTTTTAAGATCTTCAGAGCATATGAGGTGACAGATACTCTGAAAATGATATAAGTGTTTCATAAGGTATTTCTTGATGTAAGCTATTGAAGTTTGGGTTCTGCTTCCAATTAGGTTTTCTGAATTCGTTACGAGTATTGATCAAATTTACATTATAAACCCTGTGACATTTACTAACACTATACATTGCCAATTTAAACGTCTCTCATCAACAATGACAAGAAGTTTTATGATAAGGAAAATAGACATAGCAAGCTAACGAAATAATGAATTAAGAATCACTCGTTCTTTGTCAGTTTATTGATTGTAATCAACAGACAAATTGATTTTCAGTCCGTGGTCTGTAAACCTTTCTAGTAAACACCAGTTTTATAGATCGATGCTGAGAAGTCCGTCGATTAGCTTGCATGGTTTTACGCCATATTTACTAGAACATGTTACACGATACCACGAAATACTTTCGAACGCAAATAATATATTGAAATTGTTATTTCTTTATTTCTCATCAGATGTATAAAAGACGAACTAAAATTCGAAGTATAACTGCATGAAAAATGCGTATTTTAGATTCACGTTAGAATTACTTGCCCACGCTTTAAATACAAATATAAAAAACAAATATACAGCACATGAAAGAGGTGTGACTATTATCATGTGATGTATAGTAATTATGACCAATATACTTTCGAAAGTAGTCAAACCCGTTGAGATATGTTTTTGTTTATGTTTTCAAGTTTATCTGTATCCTGATCAACTTAACGCACACATTTTACTTCCTTCCTTTCAAACCGGCTTTCCTACTTTATTTCCTAATTACGCCTTTCTTTCTTCTATGTATGTTTTACCTCTTCAAACCCTTCTATTTTATCCATATTCCGCTCTTTCCTGTATTGCAACTTTTAGAAAAGCAAATTAGTAAGCATTACTTTTTAAAAATTCTAATTGCGAATGAAATGTAGAGAAACGCCCAATTAAACATTGAATAGAGAATTGAATGTAAATAACTTCCATGATTATAGCTACAAGATCGTTACTATTATTTACATTGATAGGGCATTGTAGAAATGATACCTATAAAACAAAAATAGCAATGGTGTTGTTGATATTCTTAAATAAATCCTCCTCAAAATTCATGTTATCCCTCACATTTTATACAGAATTTCGAAAACAAAACTGTCAAGAAATAGTTTACTTGCGGATAAACGATTAAAAATCCCCAGCATACGATATACTGAGAGGATGATATGGTCATTTATTTGTCATGTTTTGGACATCTTCCCTTACGGATATGTGGTCTTTTTTCAGAGAGCGCACTGACCTATCTAGAATAAGACAGCAAATAATATTTGTGTCAAACTTGAAGGAAGTGTTGACCTCAAAGGATCTATCATAATGATGGTTTCCCAACTTTGTTTATCTCAGGAAGTCGTGGAGTTGTATTTTTCTTTAAATTCTGACCAAGTAGTTTTTAAAGAAAATTGCTTTCAGGTATTTCGTGCCGATTCTTCAGTTTCCGACGTCATCTATTGCATTATCGTACGTGCCTTGTGATGCATATGGCGCTGATTTATCTTAAGTTGTTGATCAATTTTGATTGCTTGTGGTTTGAATATTTCATTGAAATAACAAACATTTACCTATGGACTCATGAACTTTGACATATATTTTGGGTTGATGACAAGTTGTCATTAGATCCACAGAACTGCAGATTGTTATTGAGGTATAATGTCGGACTGTCAAAAACATGCTATTGCAATGATTTTCCGCAAAGGGATAAACATAGAGAAACCTTTTAATCATCGAATTGGAGCAATCGCAGACAACAAATGAACATATCACTTTCTGGCACCCTCAATTTCAAGGATGTACTGTTTATTTTAGTCCCATTTTGTTCTTGTTGTTGCTAATGTAACTCATTATTTCGTTTCTGTATGTTTCCATATTCATTTATCTACACCGTGTCACTCTAGACTATATATTATTCGTAAGTCTAAAATTTGAACAAATTATGAAATTATGGGTACACTACCTTCATCACAACAACGTTGATTACCATCTCGCGTCACAAACTATAACAAGCTTAAGAAACAATTACGTGAAATACAAACATGCAAGGATACACACGATTTATGACATACATGACTTGTATTGATATGTCTCCATTACATAGTACCAATTAAAGGCTCACATTTCAGTCACTGCACTGTACCTATCAACACTGATCAAGCTACTTGTATTGATTTAATTAGTCTCTATCCTTGTCTCTAATCTCTTGTACTAAGAAGACAAACTAAATCTTGTATATCATAACAGTGACATTCAATTATCAAAATCGATTGTAAGGCCTTCTGTTAGGTAACATAACATGGATTGATTTATTGAACTTTGGACTGATTGCAAAGATTTATGTTCAAGGGCTATTGTTTGATAAAATTCGTTATGAATAAACGCCATTACACTAAGAATGTTTTACATGATAGCTAACTGGGGTATATGCTCTCAGGAAGGTTATAAAGTGTGGTATACTTTACATTTCATTCATTTTCCATGTAAAAAAATATTGTGATTGGATTGGGAAGATTATAGAAATATTCAGACACTTTATTTCGCATGAGCTAGTTGTCTCTGTTGGTATTCGTTCATTATATTAACAAAAGTATATCATTACATCCGAAATTGTATGTACATTTTGAAAATCTCCCGAAAAAAATCCTAAATCCTGCAGGTAATCATGTAATGTTTAAACCTGTGTTTTTGTTTCTCCATGTACAGGTATAGTAGTTGCTGACTACGGTCCCATTTGGAGAGAGCAACGAAAGTTTACTCTCACAGCACTTCGTAACTTTGGTTTTGGGAAAGAGAGTTTTGAAGCTGAGATTCAGGAGGAGATTCGATACATGTTAGCAGCATTCAAAGAGAAAGATGGATCTTCGTTCAACTCAGATCATATCGTCGAGATTGCTGTATCTAATGTCGTCTGTAACTTCAACTTCGGACGAAGATTTGAATACCAAGATCCCAAATTCCAGCTTCTTGTGGATAGCATCTACAGGTAAGAAAGTTCGTTTGTCTGTGATTTTGTTGGTGTTTGTTTATTTGTTTGTTTGTGGGGGTTTCCCCCAATAGGCTTGTGTTTTACTTTTAACCATAGATGAAATTGACAGTAGGAGACTTGACTGTAACGATAATTCGAAGCTAATTGCTTTACAAACTCACCTTGCGTGTTCGTTAAAATTTAACACAGGCACAATCCAAATATGTTTAACATTTCCACTCCAAGAATATTCTTGATAAGTGGGTGAAATAATGATTGCAACAAGGAAGCACTACAGTATTTATAACTTGTACCGTCTACTAACAATGAAAATAGATTAAAATTCCTTCTTTGCATGAACACGATAAGCATCAACTTATCTGACTAATTATATCTTTTTTCAGCATGTCCAGGATTATTATCTCAATCCAAACGATAATGGTAGCACAAGTAATTGTTGCAGCTTGCGCTATCACGATATTTAAAAGAATTGGATCAAAGCAGTTTGCATGATTCAGTACTAGTAAACGTTATATAGTTATGTTGCGCTCTTGCTTTTATTCCAACTTCATGTTTAGAACTTTAAATTCGACGTGTTATGCTATATCATTATTCGCATATTCTGTCTTCAGATGCAGATTAACTAATTTTGTATTACTCATATTCTCTATTCATTTTTAGATTCGCTGAGATTGGAACGAATGCCGCAGCAATCAACTTCTTTCCTTTTTTGAAACATCTTCCTATTCCTGAAATTCGAGAAGTGTTTGAGATTGATAAGGTGGTTCGAAGCTTCCTGCAACGAATGATTGAGGATCATAAAGAGACTCTTGATGAGACACGACAGAGAGATTTCATCGATGCTTATCTTCTTGAGATCAAACGCAGACAAGAGGTAAATCTTTTTCCTCTAAATTTCAATGTTATATCAAATAATCGCTAAGCATGCACGCGCGTAACCATCGGTATTTACCAGGATTTAATATCCCCTGTCTGTCGTACATTCAATTCTTACATCCCTTATCAAAATAGAACTATTAGTCCGTTACAATCTGATGTAGCTTATCAATGTGGTACACACGTTATTATGTATCGTGATGACAAGTACATGGACTTCCAAAAATGAAAAAGGAATGCTGCAACAGATAGATTATGAATTACGTTGTAACGTTTGTATTTTTTTTGAGGAGGCTAACGGCTCTCCAGTGATAATCATGCTACATAATGTCGTAATCATGCTTCGAATACGACTGATCTTGGATTCGCTTGGAATTCTATTTTAGGGTATGCTTATAAAGATTGACGTAATTGTTATAATCCATGACGATTTCTTGACGTCATCTTTGATTTCAGGCAATGAAGAAAGAAGAGAAAATAAGCGAGGCGGATGCTTCCTTCACAGAGACCTATCTCTTTCACATCTTAAATGATCTCATCTTTGCTGGAACTGAGACTATGAGTTCGACTATTCGATGGGCTATTCTGTACATGATCGTTCAGGTATGTAGTAACATCCAGTACTGTTAAACAAATATTATGATTATAAATCAGGAACTACATATAATTGCCTCAAATTTGTACAGAATGTTACGACCAAAGTGAAATTTGAAATGCCATGCTTGCCTCATGCAATGTTGGATCAAAATAGTAAACACGTCTTATCATTGCTATTTTATTGAAAACAATTTGATTGTTTATTATTTTAATGAAAACGAATCGTCAATAAAAATATTAACGATTCGTCATTTCTTGTATTCTCTAAAGAGTTCATATTTCATGGTTTTGTTAGTTTCGAACATTCAGACTTTAATTTACTTGGCTTTTCCATGGCATTCAAGTTGATCGATGAATAAAAACTCCTTGATTATAAACTCCACTGTGATCGCGACCAGACAGCACTACCCACATTATCTTTGGTTGTCGTAACCTGTCCGAAGTTTTATAGCAATAGAATGTTTAGACAGTAATCTTCCAATCAATTACTATTTTTGTTAAATATTTGTTGTACTATATAGCCCGAGGTTCAGAAGAAGGTACAAGAGGAGCTGGATACAGTGATAGCACCAGGAGAGCTACCATCCTGGAGGGATAGGAATCGTATGCCCTACACTGAAGCTACGCTCATGGAGATACAGAGAATGGCTAACATCACTGCCCTAACCTTCCCGCATAAGACTACTGAAGATACTGAACTAGCAGGCTACAGTATCCCCAAGGACACACATGTCTTCATCAATCTGTATTCAGTCCATGTAGACCCGACACAATGGAAAGAACCTGAGAAGTTTATGCCGGAGAGGTTTCTGTCTGATGAAGGTGGTGTCATCCATAATCCGGCTCTCATGCCATTTTCTGCAGGTTCGTATTGTTAGGTTTATAATGGTCGATATTTATGATTTCAATTTGAAGACAGATTTCTATAGTTTGTAGGTCCTTCTGATAGAAGGTGAGAAGTTCTTCAAGCATTTTGTGGCGTTAGAACATGTTAATCGTATTCATTTTTATTGAATGACGACCTTGGACAAAGACGATTCGGTCCATATCTCTACATGACATACTTTCATTGACCATTGACCAGGTTGACCGATAATTCGAATGAATTCTGGGTGAAATTATGTGGGGCAGTATAAGATGGTTGAACCAAACATCCACTATCAACAAGACGAGAAAAATGAAAACATTCATATTTACTTTACTCTTTTGCTGTATCATTCGCAGACGCAGACCTTACAATCATAATATTGATTATTCTTTTCTCCATGTATTTTCTATAGGTCGCCGAGCGTGTCCCGGTGAGAAATTAGCTCGTATGGAACTGTTCTTGTTCTTCTCATCAATGCTAAGATACTTCACACTTACTCCAGCTCCCGAGAACCCGAACCCAAGTATCTATAAGAACTATGGTATTAGCTTAAACCCCAAACCATATAAGATCTGTGTCATACCGCGTCAGTGAACATTTTAAACTGATCAGGTCCAAGACCTGGCAAAGATCGTGATGATAAACCGTGAAATCTTTGCAGTACTTCAGCAACATTGGTATCGATACCGAACACTCTGCGAAGTATGGCTGTATGGGTGACAATGAGGCGAGGGATAAATAACGATATTCGTTATGACTCGAGACAATTAAGAGATTCAAACTTTACCTCGATGTTTGAGGAGCTTGTGAATTCATACCGATGGTGACTCTCAAGAAACAATGGATATTATCCTCACTGAAGAAGATTAGTGATGTATGAAAGTGGTTGTCGATAGCGTGCGCCTGATTGTGACGATGCAAGAGGGTTACTTTTTGTGGAATGTAAAACTTGTTCGTGATTTCTACCCGCGAGAATGTGACGCCGTATTCAGTGGACTTATTCTGGGCCACGGTTATATATGCAGCTCTTTTGGTTTGCAACTGATGTAGAAAGGCTTCTTGCCTGAACTATGATGACAATCTCTTTCAATCGATACGAGAAATAGACGTTAATCAAATTTGATAGATTGAATTCAGCAGCTGATAGTTCGTTTAGAAAGCCGTATCATTATATATATTATTTCTGTGTAATATGGTTATTTTATCAAAGTAATATTGTACAGTTTAAAAGTTTTAGTGATATTTGTATTTAAGCAGCGTCAAGATGAAAGCCCTCAGAGCTATGAAGACAAAACTTCCCAATCTCTTTTTCGGATTTTTTAATCCACGATCTCATTGAAGATTGAAAGATCTAGGTAAACAATGATCAAAACAAAACTGACATCAATGTATGATATTAATACTTTCAATTAATCAATTACAGCGAGAGCTAGTGATATGATGTGTCATGATTCTACTCAGGTCCATATTGTTTAGCTCCTATCTGCAGAACGTTTCTTGTATGTTTCTAGTCTATTAAAGGCAATCAGTTTGATAGGTTGAAGTACACTCCCAAACTGCATATACAATTATCATGATTATTAATATTTATGATATATTATTTATATTATGGTGTCTAATTTATTGAACTTGTGATTATTTATGAATGATTTCGGAGAATAATGATAATATCACTTTACAAAGACTTTACATCGAAAGTGGTATTAGTTTTGAAGTGATTACACCGTGAAGTGTTGTAGCACCGATGGTGTATGGTGTGATTGAGGTGCTGTGAGTCACCATGGTTGTATTGAAATGCATCGAGCCTTCACATTATAAAGTGCCTCATCTGGGTTGTATAGTATTGAACAACAAGCAATAATTATTTCGATTAGTTGCCTATAACTGTACATAGTTCGTTGTCACAACCTTACACAACCATTGGAATTGGGATTTTGCTGAATAGATGATACGTGATACTATAAACATTATTAAGTAGATGCAGTGGTTCGTTTGATTGCTTTATTGGTAAGATACACAGTGGCTGTGCCAGTATCGGGTGGAAACACACCTCCCCTTCCCGTTTGAAGGCACTGGAATAGAATGAATACAACGGGTCTACATTACGGGGGCTACTCAGATACGTCACCCCTGCCTCGTCTGGGGAGGATTCTGGCCGGCATGATTGCCAATTTCTAGATATGCCTGCACTGCTTACTTTGTTTTAAGTTTTATCTTTTTGATCACGCCTATTGATTGCAGCGTGTACATCCTCTATCGATTATACTTTCGAATCTGTCCACCCACATCACAATACTAATGTTACGAAACTAGCATGCTCAAACCAATCGAAGCAATTAAAGAGCTTGATAATGAGAACCAAAAGGATGTTAGTGCATGATATTTTTGTAGGGTTAACGTCCTTCTAGCTGTCAGGTCTTGAAGGACACACCTCTTAGCCTTTTCATGGAACGTATGATCTTTAGAAAGATAGGTTTCTATAGTGAATGGTTGCTATTTATAATGCTTCAATATACTTCATTTCACATTATATTTAGATGAGAGGGATTGCATATAAATGACTGTGATTCATAATATAATGGTGTAGTATTAAAATAAAAGAGATACCTCATTCTTCATTTATCCTTGTGCTCATCGGTTTCATTTCTTTAAGTACTGTATTTCTTGTGAGTACTGGTTTATCCTGTAGTGATTACTCAAGACTAAATTTACACATTGATCCCAGACAGGATATAAAGATCAAAGCGAATCTATGGGAGGAGAAATGCAGTTTCATAATCTAATTTTTCCCATCCATTTTGTTTAATGCACGACATTCAATTATAGTTCGGTACAAGGATATTATTTTATTTTAGTATCATTAACAAGTGAAGTCCTTTATCACTTTTTGATATATGAAACTAATTTGTTCCATTGGTTAGATTTGGTTAAGAATTGTCGTATTTCCCTGCATATTTTCAAATCAAATTCAATACGATCTTTTTAGCACGTGATACATACCTGAATATTTTCAGTAAAAACAGAGACAAATGTGACCGGGAGAGAATAAACAAGAACTATGTCCAAGTTAGTGAGGGGTTTAAGATTTCCATGTTATTTCAAGTCGCGAGAACGTGTGGAAGTAGCAACAATCCATTTCTTTCTAGAAGCTAAGCCTCGGGTATTCAACCTACCAAAATAAAAATCACGTGTAGCAAATATCTCAACTTGTTTCAAGATGAAAATCACAAGTTAACATGTCATGTAGATGAACCAGTCTTGACCAAAATTCCCATTAGATGTAAAATTCGGACCAGATTGTCGGTGTTTATGAACTTGAACCTGACTCTGGGACGTGGGGATTTCAACACCCTTGCTTCCGTTTGCCCTAGGGCAACGTACAGAGAGAGAGAGAGAGAGAGAGAGAGAGAGAGAGAGAGAGAGAGAGAGAGAGAGAGAGGCAGAGAGACACAGTCATAACGCGTAACATAATAATCAAACCAAGTTTTTGAAGGTGAAAATTTCAACTCTGTCTTTGTTTCTCATTAGAAATGTGTTAATGTTATAGGAGCGTGTAAGAAGTCGAGTTATTGTATTACAATCTTAGGTTGAGAAGTAGAATTGAAAAGGTGATTAGAAAGAGGAGATTATGTAATCAGAACTGAAAAGAAGGGGAATTTCATATAAAGATTTAAGGCCAATGTAGATAATAGAATACACACGAAGTACTTTTCTTGTTATTTTTTAATAATTTCCCTATCATTATTTTATTGATTCCTCATTTGAAAAACAAAAGGACTGACACAATCAGGCCTATGTATATATTAATTAGTTTATCGAGTAATATTTTAATTCACTGCTTCCAAACGTTGAAGATCGAGTCCTGATTTATTTCTGTGAATGATGACTTGAATTCCTTGCTATAATTATACGTCAATTTAATTCTAAATATTTTGTGTAATTTCCTCAGTACACACGCGATAGGGCAATCAGACAAATTCAAATGGTTAAATACGATGATTATAAGAATGATGACAGTTCAAATTCAACTTTTTCACTTGTTCAGGGCGATATTTTGTTGTTGGACTTGAAGACGTTTTAAACGGAACAAGAGATATGTCAAGGCACTCTGGCACGGCAGTAGCTCGGTAAATTGATCTAAGCCAACATTTTAACAAGACGTGTGATCGTGATAAAATGAGACTGACTTGACGACTCGTCTCTGCTACTCTGCAGGGGGTTCATCAAGAATAGCTCCACAAAAGGAATGAGAGAAGCTTCATAGCAACCTCCCCTCTCATAAGCAGAATTCAGCCACACTTTCCACTCACAATCTACAATTCCATTACTCATTTTCTTAGAAAATTATGAGTTGATAGCGCTATACGATGAGGCAGGCAACACTGATTCAAATTCACGATCCTTATGACAACTTTACGGATCATGATTACAATCTTTTTATTTTAAAGTACTTCAATATTTATTATCATTACCTTTACCTTCTATTCTCAATCATCTTTCTTTCTTTTGCTTTTCTTCTTTTTCTCTCTTTCCTAAGTTCTTCCTTCTTCTTCTCCTTCTTCTCATTCTTAATCAACAAGTTTATTTGAATTTTGATTTATATCTCTTAACAATTTAAAGACTACAGTTTTAATGAGACGAATTATTTGGCTGTAAATATGACGCCTAGTAGTTATAAACACTATGTATGAAGAATCTAATGAGTTTTTACATACTATAGAACCATACTTATTTAGCTTAATTTATGAGGAATGTAGTAGGTCAATCAAGTATGACAAATGAATGATGATTTTTATTTTTTAATTTAAGAAAGTTAATTCTGTTTGTTGATCGAACACATGCCCGACGTTCCTTAAATAGTGAGTCAAAAATTTAACGAAGAAAAAGTAAAATGTGACATAACAGAAGATCACATCAGCTGTTGATATTAAAAACAGATTTTATAAAACCGTAATTACGAGGTTTAAGGAAGAAACAAGAAAGAAAACCGTTTGAAATGGAATTTCAGTTATCGCAATTAAATTGTTGTCTCACCCCTTCTCTTATCTAAAACACTTAAATACGTATGTAAACGTGTTCTTACATGATGTATTTACTTTTTAAGATCTAATCCAAAGATGAAAAAAAGGTTTTAATATCAAATGAACGAAGTTATGAGAGGGAAGTCGTCTTCATATGGGGGGGGGGGGGGGGGAGGGGCATAATCGTGATTATGTGGTTGGCAACTATCCAAACTGTACTCCAGAATCCACGCTCCTGTTCAGAAGAGTGATTGGTTAATCCAATCATGTGACATATCATTTTTTGTTCATTCCATATCACACATACTCTCTCATTCATCATTCGTTCCACCAAGTTCCATTCAGACGTATATGTATGTCACACGGCAGAATGTGTAGGGGTGTCACTGTCTTATTGAACATTTTGAATGGGGAGGGGGTGTCAATCGGACCACATTGGTCGACAATGTTTCAAGTACATTTTCAAAGGATAGAACTAAAACAAGAACAAGACTCACGCACTTATTAATTGCCGAGAAAACCACGAATGTCTTTTTCCTTTTGTTTTCCAGATTAACAAAATTCCGACAAACAAAGATAAACAAGCAAAAGAGGAAAAAAGATCAAAAAAAAAAAAGTGCTCAAATATCATAGCTTACCGATGAGGGTGAAAAGAGCAGCAAGTGCTGATTTGTCCTGCCGGTGGCGTGGGGGTGTAGTGGGGGTGTACCCCCCCCCCCCGGCATTGACCTTGAGATATCACATTGACTTCCATTTGAAGGCTTCGAACCTTTCAGCCTCTCATATTCCTCGTTCAACCTTCGAAAACCGAAGTAATGCATCATAATAAATTTAACATTATTACAAACACTGCACATTGTTGTCAATTTTTAGGGAACTTTTGACTGGACGTCCAAATGAGTCTAAATTTATGGACAAGTAATGTATAACACAAACACACACACGCACACACACCCATACAATGTACAAAACCCTTTAAAAAAGTTTTTGTTTAACTGAGGTAGAAAAATTATCTTGTGGTATGGTCACCTAACCACATACCGGTCTCTGGCCGTATTTATTCGGAATCAAAATGATATCTATCGAAAGGTCAACGCATTTTAAAGAATTGGCCTACATGACGTGCATGCTTGTTACCCAGCGCAACATAATTGCAGTTGTATAAACAAACAATTCGCGTTATACAAGAACTACCGTAACATTATTAATTGATTGATTGATTGATTTTTATTCGACAAGCTTCCAACATACAACAATATACAATAATAACAGATCAAAAATAAGTCAGCTTGAACAGGATAACCCACGAAAGCTCAAGAGCTTATTTCCAGTGGGGTCCCTTACAGACATGTATAAAATTAATAAGTTAAAATAGTAATATTTACAGACAGATAAGAAAATTAAAAGAACTACTTATTAAAGATAATAATAATAATAATAACAACATTAAACTGATGATAGAAATGATATTAAGTACAAGAAGAAAAAGAAGAAGGAGAAGAAGAAAAAAAAAGAGGAGAAGGATGAAGAGGAAAATAATGATGAATTCGTAGAATTTCTATAACGTACGAAAACATAAGTATATACAACATCAAAATGTATGAACCGACAGAAGAATAAAAATTTCAATCATATAACATGTCATTCACTTCTCTTCTCTGACTGTCAGGTATTAGGTATTCCTTTAATTTCCTCTTAAAATGATCATAGTTTCCTATTTCTTTTACACTATTGGGAAGGGAATTCCAATGTTTATGGCATTGTAATAAAACGAATTTCCAATACTACCTACTATTTCTGGTAAGTTAAAGTTGAATCGGCTATTTCTTGTATTATAATTATGTACGTCAGTAACAAGATCGAAGTTGGATAGAATATTATGATTCGACCTAGTATGATATATTTTATGCACGTGATGCAATACGAGTTGTTTTGATCTTTGGTCGACTTCAAGAAAACCAGCTTTAGAAAGTTCGCTGAAGCCAACATGAGTTCTTGGACCAGAACAGTTGATAAATCTCACCATTTTGTTCTGTATAATCTTCAACTTCTTTTGATCTGACTTGTTTATGTTACTATAACATGCAGGGTTAGCATAGTCAAATAAACATTGAATAAGAGCAAAACAGAGTGTACGTCTTGCTTTTAAATCCATACAACTTTGATATCTGTACAAAAATTTCAGACGAGATTTTGCTTTTTTTACAACTGATTCTACTAAAGATGAAAATGAAATTGCGCTAGCCAACTCAATGCCAAAATACTTCACAGACTCTTTTCTCTTGATTGCCTGATTATTGTGTGTCACTTTGAATTCAAATGACTTTTTAGAACTACTTTTAGAACAAAATAAAATGCTTTCTGTTTTTCCCAAGTGTAAAGAAAGCTTATTATCAGTCATCTAATCGACACACGTAGACAGCTGTTCACTGAGCTTTTCCTCAATATATTTAGGATCAGGATTTGAATAGAGTAGTACGCTGTCATCTGCGTACAATAATAGTTTGAAGTCATTTATACAAATACACATATCATTTATATAACTTGAAAATAGAATTGGGCCTAAAATGCTTCCCTGAGGAACCCCGCATGTTATAGGCA